GCCAGTATGCTCACCGAGGTTAAAAACAGACTACAGTTTACATTATAGACTGCCAGTATGCTCACTGAGGTTAAGAACCAGGCTATAGTCTACATTATAGATTGCCGGTACACTCACTCCAATTAAGAACCAGGCTACAGTCGACATTAGTGTTTATTCTTATTATTTTTCTATCTATGTGACTTTACCAAAAGAACCAAAGAATATGAATCCCCATGGGATGAGGTCAATCCTCTGGCTGCACCAAATGAGATTTGGCCAAGGGACGTCACGTTCACCGTCCCCTCGTAACCTCCTGTAGATATTGGACTATCCTCCTGTGGGCCTTTGTTTATTAAGTTTGAGGTGGTGGGGGTTACCTCCCCCCCCCCCCACCACTTGCTGCCACTGAACATTACAACTTTGGACCAATGTTGACATTTGGCTGAAGACGCCAGACCAACGTTGACCCAACGTTTCATATTCACTGGGCCCTTTGCACAACTGGAAGCCCCCGTTAGCCACTATGGTTGACGTGAGACCACAATGAAGGCTAAAACAGCCAACTTAATGTCAGACCTTCACCCCAATTGGTAAAGCTCACAACAACACTCTTACCATCTGGCACCACCCCACAAGGAAGTGGGGGTTGCTTTTGCAAGGCGATACAAATGTAGTGACGGTGATTGTCACTGTGTGGTGCCGGGCTTATGAAGCCACGGCGGATAATGTGCTAAAATGATGTATAGCCCGCTTACGGGGCATAGTATCAGCCCTAGCGGGGCTTGGGTGAGCGCTGGTCAGCGCGGAGGCACCGCGAGCAGTGTGCGGTGCGGGCTCCCGGTGACGGAGCGAGAGGGAGTTTCAGCCAGCCAGGGTTACGTTGGGGCATGATACGCTGGTTGACCTGCTGACACGTGACCGGATGATATTGGAGGGGGGCCATCGGTGGACGGGGCCGCTGGGCGGTCACGTGGTCTAAAAGAGCTCTCAGGAGCCTTTGAGAAAGAGCTCGAGAGATCTGGAAGGTGGGCGGGGCGAAGGGCGGAGCCAGCCCCAGTCCAGGGGGATATAACGGAGGCCCGTGAGGAGCTCGGGGTTCTTCGTGTGCTGGTGTGTCGGGGAGAAGAAGCTTCTAGTCACGCGGTCTGGGACCCAGCGCGTGGTCCAGGCCGGGATAGCGAACCGTGTCTAGTTCTGTCGTAGCGTGGTTAGATGGGCAATCGAGACACGAGTGTAGATTGTGTGATGTTGTGTTAAAGTTACGTAACATCTGTGACTCAGTTGGACTCACTACACAAAGATAATGATATAATATATACTGTATATAATACAGTATAGATGTTGCTGTAGCCTCTCCTGTGGAATCCACGCTGGGCGAATAAAGAGGGTGACCATCTTACCAAGGGTTTAAAAATGCGTCTATCTTACCAAGGGTTTAAAATGGCAGCCATTTTAACAAGGGGTTTAAAATGCGGCCATCTTACCAAGGGATTACAAATGTAGCCATCTTATAAAGGGTTAAAAATGCGGCTATCTTACCAAAGGCTTAAAAATGTGGTGATCGTACCAAGGGTTTAAAAAGGCCACCATCTTACAAAGGGTCAAAAATGCCGCCATCTTACCAAGGTTTAGAAAGGCGGCCATCTTACCAAGTTTCAAAAGGACGCCATCTTACCAAGGGTTACAAAATGTGGCCATCTTACCAAGGGTAAAAAGCGGCCGTAGTACTAGGGTTAATAGGCAGTCATCTTACCCAAGGTTAAAAGTCCAATATATGTACAGTACAGTATTTAATGTCATCTACTGTACACATTTTGTGTCGCGCTATAAATGCGTCACGCTTAGGGAAAAATACAAAATGAAATTTCATTTTGACCTGACCAATAAAACACAAATCCAACAGTTTTGCTTACCTGACCAACATGGCGGCCTATGTTATTCAGTCGCCATCTTGCTAAAGCAAGCCGGAATTCAAAGTTGGTGGCATCCTTCCCAAAAACAAATATGGGCTATGAATAGGGGCCATTGTCCAAAACGTCGCCTTTTCCATATTTTTCCTTTAAAGGCCGCAGTATTATTTACGAATGTGTTGAGATTATTGGTTCTTTCGGTAAATTCACGTAGAAGGGAAATAATAAAAATAGAAGACAATAAAAATATTTTTTTAATTATATTATTTCCCTTCTACGTGACTTTACCGAAAGAACCAAAAATATGAATCCCTGCAGTCACGAAAGCTTTAAATCAAAATTCTATGTGTTGAGATTGTTTCTATTTTGACAACAAACTAAACACAAAAGATAGTTATAAAGAGATGCATTTTTAATCCAGAAATTATTGTCCAACGAAGTTGCTTACGTGAAAATGTATAGCAGCCAATTGCTCTAAACGCGTGATGTTGATGCATAGCCGGTTCCTCGAGAGAATACTGTTTGTGACTATGTTACAAGTTGTATGTACGCATGGTGAACTTCTTTCGCACCGTACGTAGCAAACCGCGCGTTTATCGGAGGTGCGGGGAAGGGAATAACAAACGAAACACAAAAACTCAGTTCTAAATAAATGAATGTTCAACTTCGATCACTTTAAAGTGCAACGCTCCAGTGGCTTCTTAATTTCGAAAAGAACGTTCCAGACGGCCGCAGAAGCGCGTCTGAAAGCGAGAGACGCTACATGTCCACACACAAGCTCTACCTTGTCACTCATCTTGGATCTTCGGGACTGAGATTATCATCCCTCAGGACTAGATTTGAAGCTTTCGTGACCGCAAGGATTCATACTCTGAGTTCTTTCGGTAAAGTCACCATGTAGGTAAAAAATGAAATATAAATTAATAAAAATAAAACAATAAAAAATAACGACGTTTCGGAGGCAACACAAGTCTCCGTCATCAGGTGGGACCGTCACAGCCATGATGCAGCAAATCTGGCTGTGATGACGTTTCGAAGACTTGTGTTGCCTCCGAAACGTCGTGATTTTTTATTGTTTTATTGTTTTATTTTTATTAATTTTAGTTTCATTTTTTACCTACATGGTGACTTTACCGAAAGAACTAAGAGTATGAATCCCTCAGGACGTTCATCCTCCGATTTAAAGCTTTCGTGACTGCAGGGATTCATCTTCTTGGTTCTTTCGGTAAAGTCACGTAGAAGGGAAATAATAAAATAATAAAAATAAAACATAATAAAATAATTCTCACGACGTTTCGGCCACAACGCAAGCAGCCGTCCTCAGGTGAAGAATTCTTCACCTGAGGACGGCTGCTAATAAAAATAAAACATTAAATACAATTCTCACGACGTTTCGGCCACAACGCAAGCAGCCGTCCTCAGGTGAAGAATTCTTCACCTGAGGACGGCTGCTTGCGTTGTGGCCGAAACGTCGTGAGAATTATTTTATTATGTTTTATTTTTATTATTTTATTATTTCCCTTCTACGTGCCTTTACCGAAAGAACCAAGAAGACGTTCATCCTCGTTCTGTTCGGCTGAGTGTTAAGTCTCTTAAGCGTTGCGGTATTCTTGCTGGGAGTTTGTAAATGACAATTCGATTACGAGACTTTTGCCTGAAGGTTCACGGTCATCGGAGAGCGTCGGGGTGTAGCTGAATTGATGTGACGATGCGTATTCACACGACGCAATACTTATCGCACGTGGAAAGTGCTGTTCAGTATCGAGTTAGAGAAAGTATTTTTTTTTATTGACATAACTTTAATGCCATTGGAACCTCCTTTGCCAGTAGCAAAATATGAGAATTGCTTTTTTACCCTTTTATAACACCTTGTAAAAAGGTGTCAAAAAAACAATTACCATATTTTGCTACTGGCAAAGGGGGTTCCAATTGTGTAGATGCTTGCCCCGAGCTCTCATACTCTGATGGTGCATTGTCTTTGAGTTGTGCGCCTTTTGGCGTCATCTGGTCCAACACCATGTGAGACTAGGCTCTAAGGAAAGCTGTTTCGGGTGTGGACCAATCAATTTCAAGGACAGTGCATACATAATTAGAGTTAAATTTCGATTTAAAGCTGTCGTGACTGCAGGGATTCATCTTCTTGGTTCTTTGGGTAAAGTCACGTAGAAGGGAAGTAATAAAATATTAAAAATAAAACATAATAAAACATAATAAAATTATTTTATTATAAAAATAAAAGATAATAAAATTATTTTATTATGTTTTATTTTTATTATTTTATTACTTCCCTTCTACGTGACTTTACCGAAAGAACCAAGAAGATAATTAGAGTTATGATTTTTTGTTTGCATTCCGACCGCAGGTATTGTGGTCAATGCAAACATGACTCCATGTAAAAAAAGGTGTCAGTTTTGTTACCAGATAAAAGGGTAAAAAAAAACAATTACCATAACTTTAATGGTCCAAATGAGAAACCCTGACTTTGCTTCAGTGAGTGTGAACAAATAGTTAAACGTATTTTAAAACATATATACATTATTCGTCATGCATATGCTATTTAGAAGGGTCATTGCCCGAAACGTCGCCTCAACATTTTAAAGGCCAAACAGTGCTCTTGACGAGCGTGTTGTCGCCTATCGGCAGCAATCTGCAGTCGAGACACAATTGGCGATGTTCAATTACATTGGTGCGCACGTTTGCAGCGACATGTCCGGGAGCTAGATGCCAATATTCGAGGTTTGCTGGTCACGACGAGATAGCTTCGAAAATTGGAATTTGTCCATAAGAGGCATTTTTTTCGGTTTGATCGCGTAAATATAAATGTGTCGTGAAAGCCCACCACCACCCGACACAGCCAATTAGAAAGGCTTATCACGTAAAAAAAAAAACATCGCAACAACCGCTCCCCGCGCAATAAACTACTCCTGCACACATTAGGCCGATTTGGGGAACTCTCATTTCTAATCCACTCTAATGCATTTCGAATCCATTTATCTTAAGCCAGATTGTTAATTAGGGCGTGTGTGTGCGGGTGTCTGAAAGTCCACCGAACAATCTGCTTGATCAGCACCACGCTGGCCATTATAAAATTCGTCAGCGGTCACTTCACGCACGGATAATTCAGCCATCCAACCCGTGCAGCTCCACCACCACAACCACCACCGCCACGCGTAGATACGATCACACACTCGTGGCAGAATTTTTTTTAAAAAAGTTTTTTTTTTAAATAGCAGCCGATTGTTTTATTATCGCACACCGCATCCCACGTTTAGACACCGTTCGATAGAAAGAGCTTTGCCTATGCAACGTCAGTAATACTACCGCGAATGATGACGATACTACTTCAATAGTGAAACAAGAACATTGTTTTGACCTTGCTGATATTATCTCGGATTCATAAACGGTGTTGATTTAGTGAGCTAACACATACACGTACATGGACACGTAAAGATAACGGTCTAATCGTGTGTACGTGATACACATGAATTCACGTAAATAAACGCAACCACCTACCGACACTGCGTAGACTTATAATAGATTGTTGTGAGCCAATTATGTTAGCGAGCACCTATTTCAATAAACACCTATCCGTTATTTCACAAGCACTAACACACACCTCTCACTCTTGGTAAAAGCGGCCGAGATAAAATTGTCAACTCACAATCGTTAATTAACATCGTCACCACCACTACCATTGTCATATCGAGTCAAACTTTGTAAACCGGGCCACCAAAACTCCTCCACACAACCTCGACCACGCCACCAACAAACACATCACCACCACCACCACCGTTTCCCACGACCCATTATCAACTTGTATCAAAAGACGAATTTAACCGACGATTAGACGCACGGGGCTCGTTAAATAATCTCGCGCAAATTTTGTGCCATTCGGAGCCCTCGCCAAATCAGCCACCATGAACGGCACAGAGGGAGACAACTTTTACGTTCCCTTCTCGAACAAGACGGGCCTGGCTCGCAGTCCGTACGAATACCCCCAGTACTACCTCGCCGAGCCATGGAAATACTCGGCTCTGGCCGCCTACATGTTCTTCCTCATCCTCGTGGGCTTCCCCGTCAACTTCCTCACCCTGTTCGTCACGGTGCAACACAAGAAGCTGCGGACGTCGCTCAACTACATCCTGCTCAACCTGGCAATGGCCAACCTCTTCATGGTCCTCTTCGGCTTCACCCTCACCATGTACAGCTCCATGAACGGCTACTTCGTTTTTGGCCCGACCATGTGTAGCATCGAGGGCTTCTTCGCCACTCTGGGCGGTAAGGACGTGGGGTCCGCAATGGGCCATCGAAGTTGTGTGTTGGCATTGTGTGTGTGTGCGTGCGTGTGTGTGTGCCGCGGGTGGTGAGATGTTAAATACCTCGCCAGGTATACAGGAGGTCGTGCGTTCGATCCCAACTCTGACTGCTGCTGCTGTATATTCGAAGGTCTCTTCTCCATGGTTGCGTGGAGTTTTAACCGGGTTCACCAGTTTTTCCCTCCACATTTATAATACTGGTCAACCAAATTTTTTTTTTCTGGCCTGGACTTTTGCAGCTGTTTTAGACTAATTTCAGGGTGCTGATTCCAAATCTGATCTCAGATTTGCTCTATCACATCATTTTCATGCTATCGGCATACCCCATTTTCATTGATTTTACCCGAAATTAACTCTGTTACTTATGATTGCAAGTTGTTGCGAGTCAGTGACTGCTTTAGTGTTAAAATGTGGTGCTGTATTTTTAGGATAGTGTGTTTATAATATCATTATAATGTAGATATCCACATTCATTTAATATTTTTCTTCTGCAGTTTTTATTGAAAATGCAATATTTGATATCTCAAAAACCTGATGTGATAGACAAAAACGGATGCCAGATTTGGAATCAGCACCCCAAAATTACCTTAAAAACCGACGGAATACCTCATGCCAGAAAAAGTGTGTTGACCAGGGTAATAGACGTGCGTTTGGCTGCTAATAATTTTCCACGCGACAAGCCACTTCGTTGAGCTAACATTTGTGGCCAGGTCGCTTCTGAAAAAAAACGATATATAGCTCAGTGGGCCTTACCTGGTCAAATATAAATAGTTTAGTTTTATAGTTTAGTGTGTGGTGACTGGTGGTGCAGTGGTTTGCGCACTGCGCTAGGAACCCGGCGACTGGAATTCGATTGCCGCTCACGGCCAACACCAGTCCCGATTATCTGAACCGCCCCTGGGCCTCCTCTAGGTCGACTCAGCTTTAAATGAGTACTGGGGAGACAAAGGCGGCCGGGCGTGGGCGCTGGCCACCCTTCCCATCGCGTGCCACAGTGCCAACCTTCATAGGTGCTCGCGAACAGCACTTGCCCCAACAGTCTGTCAAGGCTATACGGGGAGGTCTTTATCTTTGTAAGACCCTGAGACCGCACCAGATATTTGTGACACGTGGATGATGCTGCTGCTGCTGCGTTGGCAGCGGTGCACAAACACAATCTAATGGCCAAACAACTCAACATATCCGTCAATGTAACACGTCATAGGCTTGCGCGACCAATATCATCCATAATGCAGATTTCTTTGGGAGGGGGGGTAGATCGATTAATATAAATGTGTCGTTAAACCTGCAACCATCCGACACGGACAATTATTAAGGTTTGTCACGTAAACAAAACATTGCAATTCGTTACTAGTACAGCACACCGGTGTGTTGGAGAGTAAACCAAAACTTTAGTAATTGTCTGTGTCGGGTGGTGGCGGGTTTAACGACACATTTATAAATTTACGCGATCAAACCGCCCCCCAAAAAAACTCTTATGGACATCCGTCAATAATAACACCGCGGTCTTAAAGTAAAATAAAAGTACGCAATCGGTGAGGTCTCGAGCAATGGCTCTCGCTCGCAGTACAATGTGCTTTAACAGATGGCGTTCTGGGCATTGTTATGAAGAAGAATCATCGCCCTCCAAACATCGCCTGTGACATGTTCCCCCCTTAAATTTCGATTTAAAGCTTCTTTCGTGACTGCAGGGATTCATCTTCTTGGTTCTTTCGGTAAAGTCACGTAGAAGGGAAATAATAAAATAATAAAAATAAAACATAATAAAATACAATTCTCACCACGTTTCGGCGTCTGAATGACGCTGTCTCCCCGACAAACCTGGTCTTCACTTGAGGCCGGCTGCTTGCGTTGTGGCCGAAACGTCGTGAATTATTGTATTATGTTTTATTTGTATTATTTTATTATTTCCCTTCTACGTGACTTTACCAAAAGAACCAAGAAGATATGCCCCCCCCCCCTTGTTAAGGGACACGGTGTGAACGACGATTTGCGTCGCGTTTTCACGCACCACGTTTAACTTGTCGGTCGGTAACGCCAACCCCTGAGGTCTCATACTCTTAGTTCTTTCGGTAAAGTCACGTAGGTAAAAAAATGAGATTAAATTATTTGTATTAATTTTAATCTAATTTTTTTACCTACCTAAATGAGATTTTTTTTCCCTTAATTTGAATCTCATTTTTTTACCTACGTGACTTTACCGAAAAAACTAAGAGTATGAATCCTTGCAGTCACGAAAGCTTCAAACCCTGAGGTCTCGTCAATGTCACCGCTTCCCACAATTGTGTGACACCCGTTTGAGACGCGCTGGTCCGTCAAGGAGGGAATGCGCTCGTGTTATTCGCAGCATTAAATGCATCGCCGGTACGGTACGCAAAAGTAATCGCCGCCACCTTAGGCAGCGTTGTAGTTCACCGGATTCCTCCAGGAATAAATACATATTGGCTCAGCGGTGGAGGGTTCGAATCTGGCACGCTGCCGCACTGGTCCAATACCACCGGTGCCGTGGCGTTCAAAACAATTGACCCCAAAAGGTCCCCTTGAATGTTGAGCCACCAGTTATTTATTACCATCCGCTTGGGATTACACGGAGAAACGTAAACATCGCTGCGCAACTGGCGGTCGACACCCGTCTGAAAAGCACGGCGCTTCCCTCTTCTTGATCAAATAAATCAATTAAATCATTAAATTGTGATTTAATTGATTTATTTTAATTTATTTTCATTTATTTCAATTTTTTTTTACCTACGTGACTTTGCCGAAAGAACTAAGAGTATGAATCCTTGCAGTCACGGAAGCTTCAAATCTAGAATTAATGGGGAGCAGCTTTAAGCATCTTCCTCCAACGCCGTTGAAGGCTTACACTAGGGATCTGGGGACTGAATGTATATGGGTGTGTGTAGGTTGTGATCATTGTATGTGTTGTATGGGGGAGCGGTAGTGGAGCGATTAGCTACGAACCCCGTGACCGGAGTTCGATTCCCGATCACGGCCAACACCGGTGACGATCATCTGAACCGGTCCTGGGCCTCCCCTAGGTCTACTCAGCCTCAAATGAGTACTTGGTGCGGTGAGTAAACATCGTCAATGGGGAGACAAAGGCGGCCGGGCGTGGTGTTGGCCACCCACTCCCTCGTGTGCCGTGCCGGCCTTCATAGGTGCTCGCTAACAGCACTTGCCCCAAAAGTCTGTTAAGGCTATACGGGGGATATTTGTCTGTATTATGTATGGGAAGCGGTAGCGCGCTGCGCTACGAACCCGGTGGCCGGAGTTCAATTCCCGCTCACGGCCACCACCGGTGACGATTATCTAAACCGGTCGTGGGCCTCCCCTAGGTAAACTCGGCCTCAAATGAGTACCCTGGAGCAATGCGTAAACGTCGCCACTTCGGGAGTCAAACGTGTCAACGACTCGCCAACTCCCTGGCGTGCCACCCTGGCCATAATGCCGGGTGGTGCTACTCGCTCACAGCACTTGCCCCTGAGAGTCTGCCCGAGGCGACACTTTGTCTGTTGTGTGCGGGGCAGGCGAGGTGGCTCTCTGGTCCCTCGTGGTCCTGGCCATTGAGCGCTACATCGTCATCTGCAAACCCATGGGCAACTTTCGCTTCGGGAACACCCACGCCATCATGGGGGTGGCCTTCACCTGGATCATGGCGATGTCCTGTGCGGCTCCACCCCTCGTCGGCTGGTCCAGGTGAGGACGAGGAGGAGGAGGTGGAGGAGGAGGTGGAGGAGGAGGAGATGATGGGTGTGAATCTCGAGTGTGCAGGCCGGTGTCCCACGGGTGATTTCTTTGAAAGCTGCTTTTTGTGTGTTTAGTTCGTTGTCCTTCGCCCCGCGCACCTCCCAATTAGCGCGGTTGGCTACGTACGGTGTGAAAGAAGTTCAACGTACGCACACAATAGGGGATCGAAGCGCGGGTCTTCGCTGTAGGTGGAGTTGTAGGGTTTCCATGCCAGCCGGACTTACAATGGAGTTCCATAGACTTACATAGAGTCCCATAAATTATGTCTGTGTTTGTATATTTGTATGGCTTCGTAATTTCAACCTCGATGATGGTTACAAACTGAGTAATCATTGGAAAGATGTGATTAACCATGCAAAAAAGATTTAACTACACTTATTTGGACCATCTTATTTGCGTTCAAACTCTCAAAATAATTACTACTCTGCAATATGCTTAATGCGGTTTCTAAGCTGACAGGAAATCTGCGCGCATTACAAATGTGTTTCATTTAAAATAACATAACGGCACATTATGTGTGGCAATATGTTCAGAAGCTAAATGTCAACGGCGAGGTCTGTTAGTCAAAATGAGAGGGCTTCAGGGTAGAGAGTTCTTGTGCAGTTTTGCTCTTCCTCATCCTCCACTGAAGGAGTGCAAACCACTGGTCTACTTATACGGTCCATAATTTGAGTTGCATGGCCACAATCGCACGGCCGCTTGCGTCTTCAATTCCCTACTTGTAAAAGAGATGTTGCGATATGGCCTCGTGATGTTCTCATGCGTATTCTTAGGTTTTTTCGGTAAAGTCACGTAGGTAAAACATCAAAATTAATAAAAATAAAATAAAATAAAGATCACGACGTTTCGGAGGCAACACAAGTCTCCGTCATCAGGTGGGACCGTCACAGCCAGATTTGCTGCATCAAGTGAGGCAAGGATTCAAGATGTAATCCCTTATAAGCAAGTTGAGGGGGGAGGAGAGGGGGGGGGCTCATCAGAATGTGGTAGCCAATGAATGGAAACGTATCGGGAGGGAGGGGGCGGGGTTAAAAAAGGAATGCACTTTATAATGAATGATGCATTTAGTGAAGACATTAATGAACGAATGAATCCACGGAAGGACTGGATGAATGACAGGTACCTGCCGGAAGGAATGTATTCACAGACAATATAAATCAATGGCACGTACCTCTGGGAAGGAATGCGCTCATGTAGGAATGAATTAATCAATGGTAGGTTCGTACTTGAATGAATGCACTAATGTAGAAATGAATGAATAAATGGCAGGTACGTGCTTGAAGGAATGCACTAATGTAGAAATGAATGAAACAATGGCAGGTACATACCGGAAGGAATGCACTAATGTAGAAATGAATGAATAAATAGCAGGTACGTGCTTGAAGGAATGCACTAATGTAGAAATGAATTAATCAATGTTAGGTTCATGCTTGAAGGAATGCACTAATGTAGAAATGAATGAATCAATGGCAGATTCGTACTTGAATGAATGCACCAATGTAGAAATGAATGAATAAATGGCAGGTTCGTGCTTGAAGGAATGCACTAATGTAGAAATGAATGAATCAATGGCAGGTTCGTACTTGAAGGAATGCACTAATGTAGAAATGAATGAATCAATGGCAGGTTCGTGCTTGAAGGAATGCACTAATGTAGAAATGAATGAATCAATGGCAGGTTCGTACTTGAAGGAATGCACTAATGTAGAAATGAATGAATGGATGGTAGGTTCATGCTTGAAGGAATGCACTAATGTAGAAATGAATTAAACAATGGCAGGTACATACCGGAATGAATGCACTAATGTAGAAATGAATTAATGGATGGCAGGTTCGTGCTTGAAGGAATGCACTAATGTAGAAATGAATGAATCAATGGCAGGTTCATGCTTGAAGGAATGCACTAATGTAGAAATGAATGAATGGATGGCAGGCTCGTGCTTGAATGAATGCACTGATGTAGAAATGAATGAATCAATGGCAGGTTCATGCTTGAAGGAATGCACTAATGTTGAAATGAATCAATGGATGGCAGGTTCGTGCTTGAATGAATGCACTAATGTAGAAATGAATGAATCAATGGCAGGTTCATGCTTGAAGGAATGCACTAATGTAGAAATGAATGAATGGATGGCAGGCTCGTGCTTGAATGAATGCACTAATGTAGAAATGAATGAATCAATGGCAGGTTCATGCTTGAAGGAATGCACTAATGTAGAAATGAATGAATGGATGGCAGGTTCGTACTTGAATGAATGCACTAATGTAGAAATGAATGAATGGATGGCAGGTACGTGCTTGAAGGAATGCACTAATGTAGAAATGAATGAATGGATGGCAGGTTCATGCTTGAAGGAATGCACTAAAGTAGAAATGAATGAATCAATGGCAGGTACGTGCTTGAAGGAATGCACTAATGTAGAAATGAATGAATGGATGGCAGGTGCATGCTTGAAGGAATGCACTAATGTAGAAATGAATTAATGGATGGCAGGTACATACCGGAAGGAATGCACTAATGTAGAAATGAATGAATCGATGTCAGGTACATACCGGAAGGAATGAACTAATGTAGAAATTAATGAATCAATGGCAGGTGCATACCGGAAGGAATGCACTAATGTAGAAATGAATGAAACGATGGCAGGTACATGCTTGAAGGAATACACTAATGTAGAAATGAATGAATGGATGTCAGGTACATACCGGAATGAATGCACTAATGTAGAAATGAATGAATGGATGTCAGGTACATACCGGAAGGAATGCACTAATGTAGAAATGAATGAAACAATGGCAGGTACATGCTTGAAGGAATGCACTAATTTAGAAATGAATGAATGAATGGATGGCAGGTATATACCGGAAGGAATGCACTAATGTAGAAATGAATGAATGAATGGATGACAGGTACATCCCGGAAGGAATGCAGTGCTCGTGTGGGCCCGACTACTACACGCTGAACCCCAACTTCAACAACGAGTCGTACGTGGTCTACATGTTCGTCGTTCACTTCCTCGTCCCCTTCGTGATCATCTTCTTCTGCTACGGGCGCCTGCTGTGCACAGTCAAGGAGGTACGTGGAACCCACAGACGGACGAGAGAGTGGAGGAGGCCGTGTGCTCGGTGGCAGATGACGGGGAGCTCTGCATGCTGTTATGAGCTACCCGTCGGAGGCCGTCGGACTGCGAGGGGGGCTACGTACAGAACGAGAGAGTGAGCGAGAGAATGAGCGACAGAACGAGCGAGAGAGCGAGCGAGAGATTTAGCGAGAGAGAGAGAGCGAGCGAGGGTTACATAAAGCCCCGTTTAAAAAAAAAATTACGAAATGATGAACGAAACAAAGTGCCGAATACACCGAGCATCTTCTTGTTTCCACTGATCGTAAAAAAAGAGAGATAGACAGTTTAACACGCAGCAGGCATTCGCACAACCTATATTGTTCATTATCAAGGTCTTTGGGTTAGATCGCGTGAGTATAAATGTGTCCTATGAGACATCTCCTTTAGCAGTGGCAAAATATAGTAACAGGTTTTTACCCTTTCAACTGGTACAAAAACTGACACCTTTATACAAGGCATCATGTTTGCAATAACCACAACACAAGCAGTCAAAATGCAAACAAAAAGAAACAACTCTGATGATGTTAATGATATGCACTGTCCTTACCAGTTGAAAGGGTAAACACCTATCACTATATAAATGTGTCGTAACCCTTATAGCCTTAACAGACTGTAGGGGCAAGTGCTGTTAGCGAGCACCTATGAAGGCCGGCACGGCACACGAGGGGGTGGGTGGTGAACACCACGCCCGGCCGCCTTTGTCTCCCCGGTAGCGATGTTTAGACTCGGCACCAGGTACCCCTTTTGAGGCTGAGGCTTGCAAACACACTGGTTGACTTAACAATTATACAACAGACCATTAGTCTGACAGACGGGCACACTCACGTTGACACACACGCGCGATTCGATGAGTCGTGGATAATAATCGCTTAATCGCCGCTTCCTTTCCACCAGGGGGTCGGCAACCGAAACAACAAGAAGCGGCAATTTTTTTTTTATTTGGTCAACCAAAAAAAATCTCGATATTTTTCAAGAGCCACAATGCATCGTGAATACGCGACGACTTGGTCCTTAATAAGTAACGGGCACTAAGTGGTCCTTAGCGAGCGGCATGCGGCTGTCGAGCCACAGGGTGCTGATCCCTGCCCATGGTGAACTGGATTTCTATGGTAATCTGGGCTTCCAACATAAACTGGACTTCCATGGTGAACTGGACTTCCATGGTGATCTGGTTCTTCCATAGTGAAATGGATTTCCATGGTGAACTGGACTTCCATGGTGAACTGGACTTCCATGGTGAACTGGATTTCTATGGTAATCTGGGCTTCCAACATAAACTGGACTTCCATGGTGAACTGGACTTCCATGGTGATCTGGTTCTTCCATAGTGAACTGGACTTCCATGGTGAACTGGATTTCCATGGTGAACTGGTTCTTCCATGGTGAACTGGACTTACTTCCATGGTAAACTGGACTTCCATGGTGAACTGGACTTCCATGGTGAACTGGACTTCCATGGTGAACTGGACTTCCATGGTGAACTGGATTTCCATGGTGAACTGGTTCTTCCATGGTGAACTGGACTTACTTCCATGGTAAACTGGACTTCCATGGTGAACTGGACTTTCATGGTGAACTGGACTTCCATGGTGAACTGGACTTCCATGGTGAACTGGACATCCATGGTGAACTGGACATCCATGGTGAACTTGAATTCCATGGTAAACTGGACTTCCATGGTGAACTGGACATCCATGGTAAACTGGACTTCCATGGTCAGGGGTCGGCAACCAAAGTAACAAGAAGATAATTTCAAGAGCCGCGCTGCACTCCTTACAGAGGCGCAGGGTGCAGAGTTTTGCCGTCAAGCAGTGACTCTTAACTTGGGGCTGCGAGATGCCCTTTCTGGGGGTGGATTTGTATTTTGAAGGTAAATAATCGGAACACAAATTGAGCACAGGGGCGCATAAGTACAACTCACTTTATACTGTTAGGTTTTTTTCGGTAAAGTCACGTAGGTAAAAAATAAAATTGAAAGTTAATAAAAGTAATATTATTTTTATTTTATTTTATTTCCATTAATACTTTTATTAACTTTAAATTTTATTTTTTTACCAGCGTGACTTTACCGAAAACACCTAACAGTATCAATCCTTGCAGTCACGAAAGCTTCAAATCTAGAAACAACTCACTTTGTTTCGTCAAACCCCGATGTATGTGTGTATTCACATTGTTAATTGTTTTACGATTTAGGTTAAACGCCACTGGTTAATAAGTTGCACAATCTCGCCACTGGGCGGCAGTGTTCGCCTTCAGAATGAATCACACGAGATTCGAAGCTAATCAACCGGGTGGGGTGTTGACTGTGGTGTCAGCCGATTCTCTATGTTCGACTGCATTATATTTCAGAGTTTACTAAGTTTTTAAGTTTTGATTTAAAGCTTTCGTGACTGCAGGGATTCATATTCTTGGTTCTTTCGGTAAAGTCACGTAGAAGGGAAGTAATAAAATAATAGAAATAAAACATAATAAAATAATTCTCACGACGTTTCGGCCACAACGCAAGCAGCCGTCCTCAGGTGAAAACCAGGTCTGTCGAGGCGACAGCGTCTGAATAAAACAGCACACGTGCTTCCAACCCAGCTTATATATATGCTCCAAGCACGTGTGCTGTTTCATTCAGACGCTGTCGCCTCGACAGACCTGGTTTTCACCTGAGGACGGCTGCTTGCGTTGTGGCCAAAACGTCGTGAGAATTATTTTATTATGTTTTATTTTTATTATTTTATTATTTCCATTCTACGTGACTTTACCGACAGAACCAAGAAGATAATTCTATTGAGTTGCGGCCGTTACGTCCGAAAATTTGCGCGCGTTATAAATTGCATTTTTATTATTCTATTATTTGGGTCTTTCGGTAAAGTCACGTGGATAGGTTAACGTGTATTATCAGGAGGATGACAATCGCTTGTGTTGTGATCGAAACGTCGTGTTTTTTATTTATTAATTTGAACCTCTCTACGTGACTTCACCGAAAGACGCAAATAATATGAATTCCTGAAGTTACGAAAGTTTCAAGTCGAGATATTTATGAAAAATAGCTTTATAGCTCTTCCTCCTGCAAGAATAAATAAACGTTCTGATGAGTCTGATTGGGTCACGTGCTGGTCCGGCACTGTGGGGGCAGCAGCGGGAGGTTCCTGGATCACACACAGATGTTGTGAAACTCCCTCCCTGTTGGCTTCCAGGACGAAGTATAACCCTGGCAAGTCAGAGGGCGCTACAGAAAATGTGGACTCCACCTTTTCCGTCTCTATGGGATAGCGTGATGCTATCCTAAGAACAAAAGTAGCTACACATGTAGTAGCTACACATGTAGTAGCTACACGTGTAGTAGCTACACATGTAGTAGCTACACATGTAGTAGCTACACATGTAGTAGCTACACATGTAGTAGCTACACAAGCTACGTGCCCCACACTTTCAAGGGCCCCGCGCTAAATGCTTCCAAGCTGTCAATTCCGGTTCAGTGATTCTGCACTTGCTCTATTACTATAGTACTATACCACCTTCAACTTTCGTGAACGACTGGGTGTTTAAGGTCAGCGATTGATCGTATTATCTGGCTGTGTAGCAAATGAAAAAATACAATTACTTTACTATGCAAGCTAAAAGTCTGTGTTTTAATATTTACGTGTTTTTTTATGTAGGGCCCTTTTATAACATCATGCTACAGGGCCCGCACTAGCTCCATCCGGCAACGCTGCCAACACCCGGCTTTTCCCCCCGGTTTTCTCCGGTTTCCTCCCACATTGTAACACCTATCGGACGATTATACGGCAATATGTAGAGGACCACAGAGCTTGGGAAGAGGGGGTGGGGGTGAATGTTGTGCCGGCTTACTGCTGCCTGACTGCTACCTCCCCGCTCGCCTGTGGTTCCTCCCTCCTCGAGGTTGAGTAACCGCGTGGAGGCAGGAGCCGCATCCACCACGACGGTGACGAGATGTCAACCACCTCGCCGGGAGGGGAGAAAAAAAAACCCCGAGGACCCGGAGAAAAATCCACGCGACCACGCGGAGAGAGAGAGACACGCAAACCCCAAATATAGAGCAGGCGTCAGGGTCGGTTATCGGTATCGAACCAACGACCTCCTGCATAGAAGGGAAGGGTAGTCAGTCATCAGAATGTTTATTTCGAGTGGAGGAATCCGATGAGCTATGAAGCTCTTTTTCACAGATGCCCAGTCGGGTCACGGAACTGAACATATCCGAGCTACCGTGGCAGCGTGTTCCTGGACAGCTCTAACCCCGTGACCCCCTCCAACCTGCCCCCCCCCCTCTCTCTTAGGCTGCCGCGGCCCAGCAAGAGTCGGCGTCCACGCAGAAGGCTGAAAAGGAGGTGACACGCATGGTGGTGCTCATGGTGATCGGCTTCCTCGTGTGCTGGGTGCCCTACGCCTCCGTGGCCTTCTACATCTTCACTCACCAGGGTTCCGACTTCGGCGCCACGTTCATGACCCTGCCGGCCTTCTTTGCCAAGAGCTCGGCCCTCTACAACCCGGTCATCTACATCCTCATGAACAAGCAGGTGAGCGACGCCGTTCACGGCGAGTTGGCACGGCAGTAAGGGGGGGGGGAGTGAGCACAGTCGGTTCATCCGCCAGTAAGGGGCCGTCCATAAATGACGTCACGCACCTGGGCGGGGGGTGAGATATTTGTGACGATGTGTGACGAGGGGGGGGGGGTTGAGAAATGTGACGTCACATCAAAATGCGCAACTTTAAATAAATATAGACAACACGTTCTACTTAAATAGACTTTTTAATAAATGTTTTCTCCTACAACATCAGGGTGCAGCGCCACATTAAATACGCACTGCAATGACAATAGTTTAAAGCGATTTGAAGCATGTTTTATTTTATTTGGGGGGGGGGGGGCAGAGCTTTGTGACGTCATATTTGAGGGGGGGGGGTCTGACTTTTTGTGACGCCGTGTGACGAGGGGGGGGGGGGGTCAAAAATCGTCCAAAATCGCGTGACGTCATTTATGGACGGCTTCCAAGTCTCAAGTCGGTCAAACCCGTGGGGCACCTGCTGGGTCTGTCCCGTGACCTCCTGCCAATCAGCGAGCACCTAGCCTGGCACCATTGCCGTGGTGACGTCACTGGCACCGAGTGGCCAATGGTATTGGTGGCACGGCGAGTTTGTACAGGAGTAGGGGGAGGGGGGCACGGGTGGTGCATCTGTCAGCCGTCTCAAGTAGGTCAAGCCCGTGGCGTCTGCCAACGGGCGATTCGACACTTTCACGTGGCCTCAAAGTGCACCTGGCCTGGCACAGGCGCCGTGGTGACGTCACCGCCACTTTGTGGCAAGTGGTGGCGGTTGTTGTTGGTCGTGATGATGATTTTGGTGGTGCTGGTGGTGGTGGCAGTTCAATGGTTCCCGCTCGCGGTCAGCACCTGTGACGATTTTATGAGCCGGTTCTGGGCCTCCCCAAGGTCGACTCAGCCTGAAATGAGCACTGTACCAGGTGCGGTGTGTAAGCCTAGCCACTCGGGAGACAAAGGCGGCCGGGAATGGTGCTGGCCACCCATCCCCTCGTGTGCCATGCCGGCCTTCATAGGTGCTCGCAAACAGCACTTGCTCCTACAGCCTGTTAAGACTATACGGGGGATCTTTGTCTTTGTTGGTGACAATGTGGTGGTGACGATGTTGGTGATGCCGATGTTGGTGATGATGATGATGTTGGTGGCAGCGATATCGGTGATGGTTATAATGATGTAATAGTTAGTGGTGGCAATGTTGGTGATGATGGTGATGGTGACGATAGTGATGATGGTGGTGGCGATGATGGTGATGATGGTGGTGGCGGCTATGCTATTGGTGATGGTGTTGACAGTGGTGGTGGTGGTGGTAATGCTGCTTATTAACGCACCAACCTGCTGCTTTTGCTGCTGTTCGCGATGACACCAATAACGACAAAGACATTTGACACCGAAAACGACTTTTGCGGTTATTGAATGGTTCACGGCGAAAGAAAAAAAAAATCATCGCCGGCGACGACGACGACGATTTTTGACGATGTCTGCCCTCTCCCGCCACCACGCAGTTCCGCAACTGCATGATCACCACGCTGTGCTGCGGGAAGAATCCCCTGGGCGACGATGACTCGGGAGCCTCGACCAGCAAGACGGAGGTCTCCTCCGTGTCCACCAGCCAGGTGTCCCCCGCCTGAGACGCGTCCGTGCGACGCCACGACCAGGAGATCTGACCGACCACCTGGAGGAGGAGGAGGACGGGGGGTGGGGAGATCCAGGTGGAGGGTGGGTCGGAGGGTAGACTAGAGGGATAGAGTTGGGGATGTGGGTGTGTGTGTGTGTCTAAGTGAATGGGGGTCTTAGAGGAGGAGGGAGGAGAGAGGCATTAACAACTTCGGCGACGAACACAAACGTTTCGTTTTAGGACCGCGTCCGTGTGACGGCAACGACCGTGGCGTTTTGGCTCTGGGAGCGACCCCCATCGCCCGTTGCCAGCTGCCCCTGTGCGGCAACAAGGTGAACAGGGCACGGGTCTGTAGGCGGGCGTTCGTCTGCCAGGGGAGGTTCGGGGGGGCGACGGCGGGGCGATGTCACCGTGGCTTTAACCCATCGCCAAGTCGTTTTTGCGAATACAAATGTTTCAAATTGGGCAGATTTGCTAACCGTGACGCTGGGGGCACGCAGGGACCCACGCCTGCTCCCTCACCTCCCTCCCTCCCTCTCCCCTGTCGGACGGTGACGCGCGCGGTTAAACGGCCACTGCGCAGGGGACACGGGGGGCGTCTGCCGAACGCCCTGACGCCTCCTGCTGTATTGCCAGAAGGAAAAGGGCGATACTCATTCTTATTGTTCAGACGGGGGGTGGTTGGGGGGAGGGGTTTGGGGGCTGGGGCGCGTTGTTCGCGGTTAGATTCGTCAGCCGGCGACTTCTTGTGAAGGCGATGAGCGGGGAGCTGTCATTGTGCGATTGTCCTCCTGGATATAAGATGGGAAAGGGGTAAGGGAGGGAGGGAGGTAGGGATAGAGGGAGGGAGGTAGGGAAGAGGGGAGGGAGGGAGGGAGGTAGGGAGGGAGGTAGGGATGGAGGGAGAGAGGTAGGAAGGTAGGGAAGAGGGGAGGGAGGGAGGCATCATGCAGGACTGGTTTTGGAATCCCGTTGAGTTTGAATTCTGAGTCGGGGGAATCCAATTTCAGCAGCCAGCAGCATCTTCAGCCTCCAAGCCGCACTGCCATGGCACGTGGCTGCATTGCTGCTGGGTCCTGTCGTCCCCTGCGACCACTGCGATGTCATCCCGCCGCTGGTCCCGTGACCGCCACCTCCTCCTCCTCCTCTTTCTCTCGGGGCTCCCCGCCACGCCGTCGCGAATAGCGTCTCCCATCTCTCGTCGGCCGTCCCCATGACGCTGCTCCTCCTCTGCCCATTCGGCGTCTCTTGCTGTAGCAAACGGCGTCGTGGATCTCCGTTAAAACAACGCGAACTAACCAAAAGCCAAAGTCGTGTCCACCTCCTGGTAAATCATCGGCTTGTCGCGTCACGCGGAAGGCAATCCCTGTTTGTTGTTGTTGTTGGTACCCAGGGATTCCTAAACCCTCACGCCCCTTCAGCTACCCCGCCGGATGACCGCTAGCTGGTGGCATTCAGAGCTGCCGGGTAGAGGTGTCCTGCGAATAGGGGTGTGCCCCGTGACCTAAGGCGGTGCGTGCGAGGGGGAAACACTCTATCCCAGTGCTCTTCGTTGCAAGGGTCGCGCGGCCCCTGGTGGCCCTTTAGTGCGGCCCCCGACAATACACAACACAACACGTGACAACGCTCCTCATCGTCATCGTGCTACTGTTAAACCTCCAAATGTGTTGCGGCCCTCACACTGATGATATCTTGTCAGCGAAAGTGTCCCCACTCCCCCTCTGAAAATTTTTGAAAAACACTGGGCCTAAGAAATGGATGCTCATTACCATCAACCAAGTCCGATTCATGTCCTAGAGTTATACCCCCCCCCCCACACACCGCCCTCCCTCCCCAGTGTGAGTGTTGTCTGTGTGTCAATATCGTAATGAAATATAACCTCAAATGTTCATCACCGCCACCACCACTATCGAGTAATTTGTCTCGGCAGTACTTCGTCGTAATCGTTACCTCTCTCCGCGTCTCCGCCAGAGTCCTCCGAGTCACATCGCGCGCCGCTGCTTGAAACGTTCTTTTATTTCTTTCTTTATTTTCTTCTTCTCAAATTCCAGCCGGAGGGACAGAGAGCGACGCGGGGCCACGCGCCGTTTCCGTGTTCACCAAATTTCTTTCTCGTTTCAAAGGCACCCATTGGCTAAAACGTCTCACTCGATCGACTTGTGGAGTAGGACTTGTCGAAGTAGGGCACCACCACTCGAGTACGAAGGTATTGATACGTATCAAAATAAGATCGAGCCTCCCGTAAGTCACGTGACTTCGGCGTTGCCCCCCCCCCCCCCGCTCTCTTCCCACCGCCCACTGTGAAAACAGACGCCGTGATGCAGCTCAATTCCGCTCGCTCCTTCCTGCGCTCTTCTCGCTCTCATCCCTCTCCTCCTCATCATCATCCTCACCACCCTCTCATCATCATCACCACCCTCTCATCATCATCACCACCCTCTCATCCCTCTCATCATCATCATCCTCACCACCCTCTCATCATCATCACCACCCTCTCATCCCTCTCATCATCATCATCCTCACCACCCTCTCATCATCATCACCACCCTCTCATCATCATCACCACCCTCTCATCCCTCTCATCATCCTCACCACCCTCTCATCATCATCATCATCATCCTCACCACCCTCTCATCATCATCATCATCATCCTCACCACGCTCTCATCATCCTCACCACCCTCTCATCATCATCATCATCATCCTCACCACCCTCTCATCATCCTCACCACCCTCTCATCCCTCTCATCATCATCATCCTCACCACCCTCTCATCATCATCATCATCATCTTCACCACCCTCTCATCCCTCTCATCATCATCATCATCCCAACCACCCTCTCACCCCCTCCCCCACCCTAACATCTTGACCCAGTTATTCCTCCTCCTCTTCTCCTACCTGGCTTCTCCTCTCTTCTTGTTGCTCATCCTGAGAGCCGTGCCCTCTCCTCTTTGTCCGTCTTGGGGGACTTCCGTTCCTGGCCTCCATTCCCTCTCCCGTTCCTTTCTCGTTCGACGCGCGTCGCTCCCTTGGCTCTACTCACCACGGGTAGAGTAACAAAAAAAAGCAATTGATTTTCATCTTCTTGGTTCTTTCGGTAAAGTCACGTAGAAGGGAAATAATAAAATAAAAATAAAACATAATAAAATAATTCTCACGACGTTTCGGCCACAACGCAAGCAGCCGGAAAAATAAATAAAAGCAATTTATTATCGTACAATATTCATCGCACAATCCTGCGAGCAAGTTCGCGCAGAAGTCGGGATGCGGCAAGCGCGGCGAGGCGGCGGCGAGATGGACCGGGAACGGCGTCCTGGGACGCAGAGGCTGAAATTTGAGGACCGAAGATTCCTCGAGATCGATAAGTCACGGAATACGCTGCAACCCCCTGGCTCAGGGTTTGAGAGCCGGTGACGCGTGTTGACAGCACCTCGTGTCGCTCCAAACACAACCGCGGGATACACTTTAAAAGAGTTGTGCAGACGCGACACGGCGCTGTGGTCGTCATTGGAGTGCACCTGAAAGCCACTTTTAGAGTCCTCTCGCGGTGGATGGAGTTGGCTAGCTGCGTGCGTGCGTCTGTACGTGTGTAATAAAGGTCGTTGAGGCGACTTCTGGAATCCGTCTTTTATTCAACTTGTATTACAGCTTTCCTTCCCGCTGCTGACAGGCAGCGTGAGAGGGACAGACAGAGAGACGCACTGCCACGTGGCAACCCGGAGCCCCGCTCCCGCGTGGCCCCCTTCCCCCGTTCGTTCCCGTTCTGACCACGTATCGTTCGTCTCCACCCCTATTTAATACCCGGGTCACGTGGTACGTTTCTACCAACCCTGGTTAGCCTCCATGGAATATTCCAGGCTCCCTCGTAAGCTCCCGGGACCACGCCCCTGACTCATCTCTCCATTGGCTGTGGCCAAAGCCAGCAGAACCAATCATCTACTTACAGCTGTCACCTTTCCATTACGTCAGGGCCACGCCCCTAGGCTTCCCCCCCATTGGCTATAGACCAGGACCGGCAGAGCCAATCATCATGACGAGTTGTGATACGTCAGTGAGCCGGATATATCCTCACATTACACGTGCAATGAGACCAGCTGCCTCATTCCCCAGTGAACTTTGGTTGAAAATAATGAGCGCTTGCTAGCGGGAAAACGTTTGATTTCATGTTTGTCTCCGTGTCTCTCTGAACGTATCTCCCGGTTATTATCTCTCCGTGTGGCGTCCCAAATGAATCCAAAATACCTCTCATCTTCTTACATCTTCTTCTTCCTTCTCGTGTCCCCTGTCTCGATCCGCGGTGCGTGTCTCTCGGTAAACAACTCTCACGTCACACGGTGAAAGCGTCATTTTTATGTTCCCCTGCCCAAGGAGGACAACCAATACACCTTCTGTTCTTTCCCCTTCGATTAGCGCTGTTGGCTACGTACGGTGCAAAAGAAGTTCAACACACATACACTACTATACACTACACGACTATACACTACCCTATACACTACTACACACAACACGACTGCACACTATACTATTATACGCTACTATACCATTATGCTACATTGAGAACTAATTTCTTTAGAACTGCTGGTTGTTGTTGTGTTTAGTTTGTTGTCTTTCCCCTGCACCTCCGATTAGCACGATTGGCTACATACAGTGCGAAAAAAGTTCAACGTACACGCGTGCATGGGGAAACATCGCACATCTACCTGCTTGTGTTCGTGCTACGTTCTTTTTTTTGGGTTGTAAATACGACGCAATGGAAACTTACGATAACCAGCGGTTCACAGTAAAACTCAACGTAAGATTCCGCTTCGCTAGTCGGGCAGTGACGTCGCGTCCGCCATGTTGTTGTTCGTTGTGACTCTGGCCACCAAGATGGCGGCAGTTGATTTCGTGAATGTTTCGTTCCATGATAATAACAAACACGGTAATAATTACACTTGTGTCATTTCACTCTCTGCATAGTTATATATATATATGTGTACACACGCACGCCTCCGATTAGTACGGTTGGCTACGTACGATCAGAAAGAAGTTCAACATACATACACACGTGTCCTCAATTTGTATGCAATATCCTCACATATGTCTTGC